AGTTCAGGTTTAACATTTCGTAAGTAAAATAGCCAGGTTCCTGAAGCAAATTTTAGAATTAAATGTACTGGATATTTTGGAATCACGTAGACCCAGCCTATATAAAAAAATCCTGGCCAGTGAGTTGGCTGGAATTCTTACTAAACAAAAGCCATAGCGCTTTGTCATGGGGTTGAGTTTAGTTTTCCTACCACATCTTTTTTTTCAAGTGAGTCACTAGAACAACATCCCGACCCCACAATATGTTACCAACAAAAGCACATCTTTATTTTTCTCTGGTTTCTCTTTGCAGCCAAGCAAGGCTTTGGCCATATTATATTCATCAGCGAGAAATCCCCAAATACCAAGCAGCATACCAGCATCTGCATGGGCCGTGGATTTAGGACAGATTTCAAATCCTGGAAGAGAGACTCAATCTCCCCCCTCTTCTTGGGCATGCTCTAGAGCAAACAATGATTTCACTGACCCATGGCAGACTTAACACTTTGTTTCTCCGGAACAGAAAGGGATCTCCAGCCGGTCTCATTTGTTGAGCATGGCTGTGTACAGAGCACAGAGCAGGAAACTGGCCTTTGCAACGTGCAGAAATGAGTCTTTGGCTTTGGTGTACAGCCTTATTCAAATCTCTCAAAGCCGGCGTTCCTACTGAGACTTATGCTGAGTGTTTACATGTTAAGACCAGATGGAACTCTTTCCCTTTTCCAAGTCAGCACTGCTGTTCTAAGAGGTCAGTCAGCAGTGCTTACCTCAGCAGTGGATGTTGCAATCATCAAAAAATAAGGTATGGGTATTGAACAGATGAAGACCCATTTATCAGTATCTAGCAGTCCGGGTGTCCATACACATAGACCTTGGTGAGGGGATGGGTGTTTTCATCGACTTCGATCCCAAACCGCAGCAACACTGTCTCCTAGTCCCCTGCACGGTGAGCTACCAAGTGGCCATCGAGGGCCAGGAAGAGATTGACAGGAATGCCAGATGCGTTTGACCCAGGATGGGGTGTGGCTTTCCACACACAGCCAGAAGCATCCCTGACAAGCCTGGAGCAGCCAGAAGGAGCAGACACGGGCTTTTGTTGTATTTAAGCCAACAGTTTTGTTCCCCTCTGAAGAGCAAAATAAGAAAATCCCTGAGTCATTAGACTGAAGGAAGACAGAAATCATAATCATACTTCGAGATCTCCTGAATGGAGAACCAAATGGTCCAAAATAGCTTATGGTGGGAAAAGAGCATATTCAGCTCCACTATTGACATAGTAGTGAAATATCTTTCATCTACGCTTTAAGTCAGGCTAGAATTAAAACTCAAAATCTGGAGACAACATCCAGGAACATCCTATGTTATTATTTTTTTTTTCTGGCACTATTATGCTCTGTATGCCTAAGACTATCCTCACTGCCTAAAGAGATCTAAGACCCTCCAGAGGATATGTTTTTTCCATTTTCCTACGTTTAAAAGGAGAAATTCTTAGCCAATTGTTGACTGTTGAGGCTCCTTGGAAGTCTTTTTGGTTCATCCTCTTCTGAAATGATTAGGATATCTAGATTCTCAAGGTCCATAAAACTCAGGGTATCCTTGATGCTTTGCCTCTGATACCTTAGTCTAAAGCTCTGCTGCTCACGTGACATGTGTGCAGGTTCCTGGTTTTACCATTACTAATTGATTAAACCTGGGCAACTTGTCGGGAGAGACTTCTCCATGGTTCTCTGTGTTCTTCACACCTTTCAGGCAGAGGCACTGACTGCCTTTGTTTTAGAATTTGTTTCAAGCATGTTTGTTTAGTAAATCACCTTTGAAGAAAGAGACAGTGTCTCCTTCTGGAGCAGAAGGCAGGCATGTTAGTGTCCGTTATAAAAATTCCTGTAACTCATTATACAATTCCTGTAACTCGGTGACCATGTGTGTGCAGGTCTCACCGGACCCTGTTCGGGTTGCTGTCTAGGAACTGGGGTTCAGGAAATTGGCAAACGAAAATGCTGATACTCTGTGTACTGCTAGTGCTGTGAGTAATAAAGTCCTTTGTTTCTTACCCAGAAATCTCCTGTCTTCTGCAAGCTTTGGTGAAACAGGCAGGCTAACTTGCTGGCTTTCAAGTACGGCAAAATAACAGACCATTGACAGTTTTTGACACTTTTAAAAACAGTATGAATCCTCAGTTTCCTCATCTGTAAAACAGACTTTAAAAATAGTACTGACCTATTGGTAGTGAGGACGATAAGCCCTATGCTAGTCATATACTAAGCCCTCAAGAAATATTTGCTATCAGTGTTATTAAAGTGGTACATTCACCCTTTACCTTAAATGAATAAATTTTTATGTGTAGTCTTATTTTGAAAGAAAAAACTTATGTTCAAAGATTCTGTTAAGAAGCGTATAACTTCAAGATATCCTTCCTCAAGTATAGTTACTTTTAGAGCCAATTTCTTTCATCTGTGAGATTCACACTTTCTCTTCTCAGTTTTTTTGCAGAACAATTTTATATAAAATCTTGGATGGATCTAATGTAGAAGCTTACATTCAAAAACAAAAACATTTCTTTTATTTGTTTCCATGGAAAGAAATGAGAAAAAGGAGATTTGTAGAATAACTTTCTTAGCTTAGTTGGGCTTATGATTAAAAATTTAACTTCCAGGGGCTTCCCTGGTGGCGCAGTGGTTGAGAGTCCGCCTGCCGATGCAGGGGACACGGGTTCGTGCCCCGGTCCGGGAGGATCCCACATGCTGCGGAGCAGCTGGGCCCATGAGCCATAGCCGCTGAGCCTGCGCGTCCGGAGCCTGTGCTCCGCAACAGGAGAGGCCACAACAGTGAGAGGCCCGCGTAGCGCACACACACACACACACACACACACACACACACACACACACACAGATTTATTTTCTAAAACATCTTGTCTTTATTCCTCAAGAGAACTGGCTGAAGGCACAATGGAGAAGCTGCTTTCAGCTGAACATATCAGGGTGACCACGTGAGAGCCCACGTCTAATGTGTGAGAGCCTACGTCTAATGTGTAGCTTTATTGCTGCCCTTGATATAAGAAGATGGGAGAGATATACATTGTAGATATAATTGTGTTACTCTTTCTCTTAAGATGCCTCCTTGGATTCCTTTTACTTACAGGGAAAAGTCACAGTTGTTTGGCCAGGTTTTTCAGGCCCTTCCAATCTGTCCAGCGTCACCTTCAGCACATCTTGTACTTTAACTCTTTTACTTCTTCATAGGTCCCTGGGCCTTTTATGCTATTCACCCCTGCTGTACATTTTAGACCTATGTCTTTCTCTTCTTTCTACCCAACACAATCCCATTCATCTTTTTTTTTTTTAATAACCTTGACATATACTTTTTTTTTCAATTTATTTTTTATTTTTGGCTGTATTGGGTCTCCGTTGCTGTGTGCAGGCTTTCTTTAGTTGTGTCGAGCGGGGACTACTCTTCATTGCGGTGCACGGGCTTCTCATTGCGGTGGCTTCTCTTGTTGCAGAGCACGGGCTCTAGTGTGCGGGCTTCAGTAGTTGTGGCGCACGGGCTTAGTTGCTGCATGACATGTGGGATCTTCCCGGACCAGGGCTCGAACGCATGTCCCACGCATTGGCAGGCGGATTCTTAACTACTGCGCCACCAGGGAAGTCCCTCCCATTCATCTCTTGAGGGTCAGTTCAAGTTTCTCTTTCTCTGGGAGCCTTCTTTGCTTCTTCTAAGTAGAATTGGCTGATCCTTTCTTTGTCTGACTCACATTCTTAGTTAATATCACTATTCTTACCCTTAAAGAATTGCTCTGTATTTATTTGGCTATGGTCTGTTTCACCTAACTCATTGCTAGTGTTGCTTGAGGGTAGAGATTGTCTTAATCATTTTTTGTATCTTCTTTGATATGCACAGTGCCTGGCAAATGGTAGATTTTTTTCTTATTGGTGGGGCATAGCATGGGACTGGTCAGCTCTTTTGAGATTTAAGCCATAGGATTTGTTTCATTGGCACCTGGTTAAACCTCGGTGCTTCTTAATACCAGTTGCTCATTGGAACACATGGAGAGCTTTGGAAAAATTTCCAGTGTGTGAGCTTAGGGACATTGACTGCACCTAATCTCATGGATTTGGATTCAGTTTGTTTTAAGTGGAGTCCAGGGGTTGTTAATAATACCAGTAAGTGCTTACGTAGCTCTTACTATATAAGGCACTGTTTCAGGCACTGTTTACTTACATTAATTTATAGGCATTTTTTTTTTTTTGAAAGCCAATGTTGAGAACCACTCCAGTCTGGCTAAATGGCAAGAAAATATAATTACTGAGGTTGAAGTAAAATAATGACACATAATGATACAACCAAGCTGGATTCTTTTAGCAGAGCCTATTTATTTGTTTGTTTGTTTTAGTTTTTAATTAAATAGGGGAGTAAAAAACCAATCCCAATGTGTGCAACTGTGATGAGTTGTGGTTAGACCAGAAAAAATTTTCAGTGACTGCAGGAAGAATTCAGATCGCAGAAAGAGATGTTAAACATTAAGAATCACTTTTCTAGTTGAAGGTCCAACTCTCATGAGACAGCATTTTATTAACCAATTTCCCATAAAAGTTTGTCTTTGCTCACTGGAGCTTTTCACTTTCAAAATGGAAGGGCTAATTTGACTGGACATCTTTGCAGCTATTTAAAGGAAGTGTAACATCTGGAAAAAAAGAGACTGTAATGATGAAAGTAAAGTGGTATTATAAGAGATTGGACTGAAAATGGTCTTAGGTTAAAATAGTAAGTGTAGAACAGTAAAAGGGGGATTTTATGTACCATATTTAATTATGAAAAGACTTTTTTCATATAAAACATATTATAAAAATCGTTTGCTTTTGCATTAAAACACATTTTTCTAGCTGTCTTAAGGAACATGATTAGTATGGTTCGGGCCACCCTCAGTACTGCACCTACCTTCCTTACTAACCTTTTTGGTGCTTTTCTCTTTCCTCCCATCCATCCTTCATGCCTGCCAGTTATCTGTCATCACCTACCCAGGCGGTGCATGGAGGGTTAACCTCAGTGAGGCAAGGCACACGTGGTCCTGGGCCTGTAATAAACCTGCCCACTTGGGTGGTACCGGGAGTGGGGAGAAGAGTGTCACAAAATTCAGTGTCTACAGAGCAAGGCAACAGGGAGTCATTTGATGGCAGCCATTGGGTATCAATGGAAGCTGGAAAAACATGACCACATGGAAGCCCGATCAAGCGAGACTGGAAGATGGACCCAGACAGTAGAAGAGAAGTCATGTCTGCCAGGCCATAGCCATAGCAAGTTGGATTTTACTTCCTGTGGTGAGCGAGTGTCGTTTCAGGGATCAGTCTCCACCCCATATGTCCTGAGGTCAATAGGGCTATAAATAAAGTGAATAAACCAGGGCCTAATTACTAGAGTTGAGAATAAGGTGGATGTGGTCTTAAAATAAGACAAACTGTTTTTAACCCTTAGGCACAAACTGAGAGGCAAGTAAGTCAGAAAAGTGACTTGATCCTAGGTCTCAGAATCAAACCAGGGTTCCTTAAGGGACCAGGTTTTACCTATAGGTGATGATGGTCAAGTAGTTTAGATGTAGGTAGAAGATGGATGCAGTGTTTGAGGTACAGACAAAGTCCATCTTCTTAACACCTAACTCTGGTCTTTCTGATCCATTTTCTTCAATTGTTTCCTACAGATTACAGAATAAACCAGTCTCATTAATCTGACATGTAGGCTTTCTATAATCTGGTTTCAACTATTTTATTTATTTTTTCACTTTTCCTTATCATATCTTCTTCCCCCAGCTCCTATACCTACTTGCTTTGCATAGAGCCTACAATTCTATAATCCAGACTAGTTAAATAGTTTTCTTTGTCTGAACACACCATATACTTTACTGGCTTGATGCTTTTCTCAAAATTTTCTCCTTCTTATCTACCCATTATGTAGAAACCATCCTAAATACCAAATGTTGGCAGTAATTTATTTTTTCTCTCTTTATTTCCCCACCTCTACCACTGACATGGCTTTTCAAGTGAAGTCTTATGTTGGTGTGATTCATCTTAATGTTTCTCATGAAGCCCAGTATAGTGGGAAAGACAAAAACAGAGGTTTCTAAAGACCCAACTTACTGACCGTATTTTTGACATTACATATATTTTAAAAATCACATTGGATCACGCTGCCGGCGTGCAAGATGGCGGTGAAGAAAGACAAGAAGCCTAAGAAGTCAACTTGGAAGTTTAATCTGGACCTTACTCATCCAGTAGAAGATGGAATTTTTGGTTCTGGAAATTTTGAACAGTTTCTATGGGAGAAGGTTAAAGTGAATGGAAAAACCGGATATCTTGGGAATGTCGTTCACATTGAATGCTTCAAGAATAAAATCACAGTTGTTTCTGAGAAACAGTTCTCTAAAAGGTATTTGAAACACCTTCCCAAGAAATACCTTCAAAAGAGCAATCTTCGTCATTGGCTTCGTGTGGTCGCATCTGACAAGGAGACTTATGAACTTCGTTACTTGCAGATTAGTCAAGATGAAGATGGGTCCGAGTCTGAGGACTAGATGAAGCCATCCCTTTCAGGGCTTTGCTTGCTAACAAAACAAATGAAGTATACAAGAAAACATCTTGAAATGGACCTTTAGTTTATCAGTGAATAAAAAACATGACTCTGTCTGTTAAGCATTCATCTCTTTGATTTAAGTGTATGCTGTTTATATGGTGCTGGCTTTCCTTTAATACTTAAAAAAAATTTTATTGGGGTGTGGTTGATTTACAATGTTGTGTTTTGGGTGTACAGCAAAGTGAATCAGTTACACACATGCACTCCTTTTCTTTTTTAAGATTCTTTTCCCATATAGGCCATTACGGAGTATTGAGTAGAGTTCCCTGTGCTATGCGGCAGGTTCTTATTGGTTATCTGTTTTATGTATGGTAGTGGGTACATGTCAGTCCCAATCTCCCAGTTTATCCCCCCGCCCTTATCCCCTGGTAGCCATAAGTTTGTTTTCTACATCTGTTACTCTACTTCTGTTTTGTGAATAAGTTCATTTGTACTCCCCTGTTGTTGTTGTTTTTAGTACTTTCTGTAAGCGGTATTTAAATAGCCTATAGCTAGTGGAATTTCTTCCAGGATTTCTGAAGTGTACTACTTTTACAAATGTCCTTGAGTTAAAGTATATAGTGAAAAAATGAAGCACAATTTTGGGTATAACTTTATATAATAAAATATTTAAATTCTAAAAAAAAAAAATCACATTAATTTACATGTTTTGAGTTTTTGTAGACTTTATTGGATTTGAAGAAAACCCCATACTCTTCTTGAGCAAACTCTGAAGTCTTATCAGTAGACTTAAAAACAATTTGGAAAATTCAGATTTTAAGAATTTTAAAATGTAGTTGCCTAGCATATGTATGTATATTGTGAAGTTGACCCTTGAACAACCTAGGTTTGAACAGCGCCGGTTCATGTACACGAGGGTATTTTTCAGTAGTAAATACTACAGCACTACATGATCTTTGGTTGGTTGAATCCGTGCATGTGGAACTACAGATATGGAGGAACCGTGTAGTTGGAAGGCTGACTCTATGTTATACGTGGATTTTCAACTACACAGAGAGTTGGCGCCCCTAACCTCCATGATGTTCATAAGTCAAATGTATCTTTATTCTGTTATATAATACAAAGACTTCCGTGTATGACTGGATTTTCATGATATTCAGAAAGGCAAAACCATGATAAAATCATTTTTGTGAACTTAGGAGAAAAATGATTAACTTGGATTAAAAAGTTCGACAATAGGTCTACTCATGACCTGGAACCATTAATTTAGAGTAATAGCAATTACTGAATAATTGCCTATGAATGAGAAGGGGTTGCTCAGTATTCAAAACTTATTCTCAGTTTCATACAGATCAGTGGCTCTCAACAAAGAATGATTTTGACTTGCCTCTGAGGGGTATCTGACAATATCTGGAGACGTTTTGGGTTTTCACAAATGGAAGCAGTGCTACTGGCATCTAGTGGGTAGAGGCCAGAGGTACTGCTAAGTGTCCTGCAATGCACAGGCTACTCCCCCACAGCAAAGACCTATCTGGTCCAAAATGTCATTGGTGCTGAGGCTGAGAAACTGGATATAGACCAAGGCTAATGTTTGGTCTGTTGAAATTGACTTTATATATATATGTATGTATGTATATATAATATTTAAAAATACAATATACAAATCTATATAATATATATGATGTAATATACATAAATTTATTATATAACATATATATACAATATAATATATAATATATATTTTTTCAATGAAAGTATCAGCCATAGAGATATATTAGTTTCAGAAAGTAAACTAAAGTTAATCAAAGTAGAAATTACATAAAGTATAATTAAGACCTTTCAGAGATTGTGGATTCTTATTACACTGAAATGTGCTTGTTTGAGTTTTGCTTAAATAAGTGAGCCCAATCCTCTGTCTAAGACATAATCTGATAATCCCCAGGCTTTTGTGGTGGTCATATAAATTGTTTTGGTCTGGGTTCACATGGGGTTAAACTACATGTTTCCATGGTCTCTCTGAATTTCAGGTTTTGCTTGATGGAGGAATATGGTAAATGGGAAGATGGAGGTAAGGTGATTAGTCTGCTAATCAGCTGTAATGTTGGAACTTTTCTTCCCTTTTAAAGCTTTGCATCGCTTGGGCTTTTAAGACTTTCTGTCAAACTACTTATAACCCGAACGAATTACAGAAAAACTCTTCAAGGTGAGGTCAGTGTGCACTTCAAGGCCAGGGCAGAAGACTCTATTCCGCCATTTGTTTTCACTGTTTGGTTTGGCCTCTTCCATTAAACCGGATGGATAAGCAGGGCACATGTGGCATGTGAAGTGGCTGGGCCTCCTGGCAGGCCTGAGCTGTAGACTCTGAGGCCTGTTGCTGTGCATTCATGTTTGAGTTCAAAATTCTCCTATTCATTTGTGCAGGGCAGAGGCCAGGCCCATCTGAGTTTAGCAGGAAGCATGCACTCTGAAATCCAAAATGTTCATCTAGAAGGAAAACACCTTCAGTTGCAAAGGTCTTCTCATCTGTGATCTGCTTTTCTTTTCCTTGGTGTCACTGGGCTCCCAATTCCTGACTCAGGCTGGTGGGAAATACCCATTTTGAATCCAATTTGGGTTGAATTTCCTTCTGCCTGGCCTTGTGGATGCTCCTGGAGGTAGAGAAACTGCTCTGTGGACCTGTAAAGATCGGGAAAGCCAAGGCCATCTCTAGTGTTGACAGTCGTAGCTCTGGGCTTGGTGGCAGGGTTAGCCTGGGATCATGGTCAGGTGATTAGTAGACACACTGGTCCCATCGAGGGGTGAACCTCCTCAGCGAGATGGAGTGGATCAGGCTGCTACCATAATTTGTTCACTTTTGCTTCTGTTGTAGTTCGTGGTCACGGTAACTTTCACATTTTACACAGTGGTCCTCTATTTTGGAGGCTGTAGTGGTTTTATGAGCTCATAAGTGGTGATAAGCATAGATTTTGGAATCAGAAAGTGTCCATCACATGTTAGCCGATAAACCTGCAAGTTACTTAACCCCACTGAGTCTCAATTTCCTCATCTAAAAATGGATAGAATAGTGCCTCCATAACTAGATCAGATCAGATATTGTATTGTGGTGTGGTAAGAGTATGTCTTCCAGAGCCAGACTGCTTGGGATTGACCCTGGCTCTGCCATTTGCTAGCTGGTTGGTCTTGAACACAATGCTTTATCTTTCTGTGCTCTTTGGAGATAATAATAGGATCCGCTTAGAGGGTTGTTGTCAGGGTTAAGAGGCTGAATCGCTTTGCTGTACACCTGAAACTAATACAACATTGTAAATCAACTGTGCTCCAATAAAATTAAATAAAATGAGAGAGAGAGACTATATTGTTGGGCATCTTGAAGTACTTAATGACCATTTGTTAAATGATTATTTTGAGGGTGAAAATACTTGTATAAGCAGAGAAATCTTTTTATGAGTATGTGTTTATTCCATACATGCATAGCATTTATAAATGTACTCCATAAAAACTCTTTTGAAAGCCCTAAAATGTTGCATGATCTGGGTGATTTCTCAGTTTTCCACTGTATTGAGAAGTTATTTCAGATACATAAATGGCTACTTATAAAGCTAGACCATTGTGTTTGGTATTGTTCTTCGAATTGAGTAAAGTTTGAGAAAAGTGTGCCCACACACTTGCCTACATGCTTTATGATGGGTGTAGGTGGAAATTGGGTCTAATGAAATCAAGCAGTTGAAGGAAACCTGTCACTCTCAAGACTGTCAGAAACCCGGGGTTCCAGATACCTTTGGGAACTGAAGATCTCTTTGCCACGTGACTCCAAACGATCTGCTCTACAGTTGGCAAGTTACACTGGAATTAATGAATTAATTAAATTGCAATATAGTTGACGTACAATATTATGCTGATTTCAGGAGCACTACGTTGTAATTTGACATTAGCATACATTATGAAATAATCACAACAGCAGCCATCTGTTTCCAATTATTACAGTATTATTGACCATATTCCTTAAACTGTGTATTACATCCCTATAGCTTATTTATTATATAATTAGAGATGTGAACCTCTTAATCCCCTTCGCCTACTTTGCCCTTAACCCCATACCACTTCCCTCCGGCAACCATCTGGTAGGCAGGACTGGTCCCTATACTGGTTGGCTGCAAAGCCTGGCTTTGTTAGGTGTCTGTGGGCCCACTGGAGGGCAGGGCCAGGTCCCAGTGCAGCTGTCTGCAAAGCCTGGAGGGCCTCAGGTTTGGAGATGACCCAATGGTAGGTGGGGCTGGGTATTTGCCTGGCCGTCTGAGCAGCCTTGAGGGTGTAGGGCCGGTGCTGGCCCTCTGATGGATGGGGCCGGGTGGCCACATAGCTGTCTAAATGACCTCGGGGGGCTCAGGGCTGGTGCTGGCTTGCTGGTGGACAGGTAAGACCCTGGCACTAATAGGCTGGAGAGAGGATTCCAGAATGACACTTGCCAGTAAGTTGTTACTGTGGTAGAATGAGATCCCCCAAGTGGCTGCTGCCAGGGTCTCCATCCTCACGGGGAATCCCACTTTCCTCCCGCCTCTCCATGAGGCTCTCCATGATTAGCAAGTGGGTCCGACCCAGGCCCCTTTCAAACTACTGCCTCTGCATTGGGACTTGGAGCTGGTGAGCTTATGCACATACCCTGTAAGAGTTGGAGTCTGTTTCCCAAAGCCCTCCGGTTCTCCTGAACTAAGCCCTGCTGGGTTTTGATATAGGACTCCTGCTCTGGGGAGCCCAGTGTGGGGCTTTTACCTGTCACTCACTGGGGAGGATATCTACGATTATGATATTCCTCCCACTTGTGGGTCACTGATACAGGGGTGTGGGTCCTGAGCTACACCGTGTCTCCACCCCTCCTACCTATCTCGTTGTGTTTCCTTCTTTATGTCTTTAGCTGTGGAAAAGCTTTTCCGCTAGTCCTCATGTTATTCTCATACATAGTAGCTCTGTGAGGAGTTGTGATTTTGGCGTGCTCAAGGGAAGAGGTGAGTTCTGGGACTTCCTACTCTGCCCTCCTGCCCCTGGATCTGCACCAGGTTACACCTGTATTTTCTCCTTCACTGCCATGTGCTTGTCCACTCCCAGAGGAACCCC